TCTCTTCCCTCAAATCTGTTTTTGCTCCTTTTCATCTTCATTTTTTAACTTTGGAAACAGGCATGTTTCTCCCAGGGGAACAATTAAATTTGTTTTCTTTCAAAATCTAAAGGGCATGCTGAGCAGCTTGTATGTTCAGAGGGCTACTTTAATCAATGGAATCCTTCCAGCCTGCCACTGCTGACCAAATTACAATTTACATTGGTAGTGAAAACTTTTCAGGGGGGGATCTAAATCCAGCTTTTGGCCTAACGCAGTATGCAGGGCAACATGTGACTTCATGGTTTCCTAATAAGCTTCTAGGAAACCCACTGAAGCATTAGAAAGTGAATTAATATTGTAAAATTACAGCAGAGCCTACTAGACTGGGTGAAATTCATGCCCTGTGCACAGGGCCCTTTGTGAGATCTATGCACCACTTGAGTCTCACGTAAGCCCTGTTGTGAGGATTTCAGTAACGAAGGGCTGAATTTCACTCCTTATACATGATGAAATTCACTGAGCCGTGATTGGTAACATGCACATGCATTTCATCAAGGCATGATTGGTAACACGCATGAGAATTTCAGGAAATCATGAAACAGGAACCATGCCTATGGATTCAATAGCTGTTGTTTCCTTCCAATTTTAAAGGCGCTTCAGAGCACCTAGACATCCCTCCTGTTTCCTGATATTATGGCAACACATATTTATACTCCTTTTCTTTTACAGAAACACTCAATTAGATGGAATACAGAATGACATATGTTGGTTTAGGCAGCATAAGAGATATTGGGTGCCACTAGCAAAATAGTAATTCTGTAGCTTGCTGAGAAATATAATACAGCTGTAGTACTATTTCCCCCCTCTCAATAAGAAGACAAAATAATTTTTGATGGATTTCAAAGTCTGGAAAGGCACCTAAAATTTCAGAGGTTAACAGTTTGCCAGCTACTCATTTTAATATTTATTTTTTGGATCCTTGCTGGTGAGTTCTGATTTTATACAAAACAAGCAGCACCCTACAACCAACAGCCCATTCAGTCCCTGTGTCTGAGAGACCACAAAGAAACAGAGAAAATTGCGACTGTGCTTATCATACATGAGCTCAGTTTATTTGTGTCATAAATAAAAGTCGATCTTGATAGCCTAATTACATTTCTCAGCATTATCCTCTGACGTTAGCCTCAGAAAGAAAGAAAGGGGGAAAAAGTTGGCTTCATTATAATTTGTAATCAAAATGACTACACTTAAAACAATTTTATTTCCCTGATTTCATTTCCTATGGAGCTTTGTGGGGCCAATAGATAATATTAAACTGAATGGGCAGGCACATAATTCTCATGTCCTCTGCACTATCATTGTTGGGGTCATATTTTTGCTTTCTCCTAGATTATGGACTGCATTTCTGATATTGCACTTTCATCATGCGGAGATTTACCAGGCTCAGAATTCCCAAAGGGGAATCAACTTTTACTTTTTTTTGTACTCTCTCCCATCCCCCTCCCATTAAAACACTCCACCTTGCCTAATTTGCCTTTGAGATGTCTAAAAATGCCAGTGGTTTTCCCAGCATGAAGGATTAGCACAGATTATGGTGAACAGTGTTAATTATAGGTGGGGAAAGAGAATAGTGCATCTCTCCAATCTGTTCTTGATTTCCCTTGTGTCTGTCTGGCTGGTAATAAGCCTCCTTTAATCTGGCAGTCCCCTTGGTGAAATCAGCACCACGGACAGCAATATTGATTGCTTCTGAGAAACCATCACAGCTGCTCACCCAAATTACCTTTGATATGTGACCTTTAATGTAATTACTGCAACATCAAAGCATTTCTATAAATTATTAAAGAACTAATATACTTCATCATCCAGCTATTCTATTATATGTAAAATAAACAATCACAAGTAAATGTTAGAATTTGAATCGCCTGGCACTCACAATAGTGTTCTAGCGCACACACGCACGCATACCCAGTCCTTTGGTTTTAGGCAGGAGACACTTTCAAACTGTCCCAAGCAGTCGGCTGAAGAAGATTCAACAAGCAATTTGATATTTTACATTACGTTCTACTTCCTGCAAAATATTTATCACAATTCTCCCCTAAAAAAAGTACCATAAAGACTTTATTAATCAACACACACCTGCTTAGAAGTGTTTTGATTATTCCACAAGATGACTTTATATCTCACATATAACAAGAAAATATGTGAAACATATTTCTGTCATCTTACAAAGCACATCCAGAAAGTAATTACTGTAAAATATGTGCATGTAACCACTCCACTAAAAACACAGTGATACATAGCTGAGAGGCAGAAGCTTGGATCTATGCACAAAATACTGGTGCCTCATCATTTCCATACATTTGCATTTATGTGCATATTATTACAAATGACTCAGTTCTGTGTTTTATAATAGCAAATATGCATGCAGTAGTAATACAAGGGCAAGTACTGTATAATTTACTGGGGGGGGGAAGCTTCGATTCAGTGATCTACTGTATGTATTACTTTCCCCTTTCTATACCTGGCTTGTTAATTATTTTCATGCTTCCTCAGTCGTATTGTTTGTGTCACAAAAACTAGCAGGTGAAGGGGATGTGTTATATATGTATTGTTTGAGAACTCATGTGAGAGAGGACTTAGACCCTTGACCTAAGGGGTGCTTCTTATTTTATGGTGATGAACTATGCTTGATATTGCCAGTGAATGTCATCAAGCACAGTTAGGTATGTCATAAATACTCCCCTGCTACTTGCATAGGAGCCATAAAACAATATCCAGGCATGAGAGCTTATCAAAAAGGCTGGTTCCCTGAAACAAACTAGAGAAACATCATCTAGAAGATGAGTTCGGGAACTTGATGGAAAGGTGTCTGCAGCCAGGTCAGGTGGGAGAAAGAAGGGCTTGATCCTGAGAGGAATAATTTGCATTGAAGCCAAAGGGGGGTGGCTCAGTATATTTGAAATTCTGGTCACTTATTTCAGCACAGAGCCTTCATCATTGCCCTCTGGGTCAGATTCTGCTCGCTGTTACAGACGGTGTTAAACATGAATAACTCTTCTGAAGTCAATGTAGTTAGTCTGGGTTTAGAGCATTGCAAATGAGGTCAGAATTTGAACTGATAAAAGTTAGAGGTACTCAGACCCTCACAGTATCAGATATAAAACCTTAAGGGTAAACTCCTACCCCTGTTGCAGTCAACACAAGCTTTGCCATTTACTTCATTGGGGCCAGGATTTCACCCTCAGAGCTTTGTTGTTTATGGAAACATACAGACACATACCTTGGCCACTACAAAGCTGGGTGTCTAAAATAAGGCTCTCAAACTCCATATTTAGGAAAATAATTTTTTACCTGATTTTCAAAAGCGCTGAGCACCCAGCAATTCTCATGGACTTCAGTAGAATTATTCCAGTTTTACACCAGACTCACTGAGACATGACTTTGACCTCATGGGAATGATATGAGCTCTGGGCCTGAGTAAAGTAGCCTGCGTTTCAATTCCTGAGTGTCCACCAACTCCTAGTGAATGGCTCCACTAAGTAAATAACATTTTTGAGAATCAGGACCCCAATTTAGCCACTTAATTATGCATTCGGGTTTGAAAATCTTGATCCTTGTGTTTTCACAGGTGTATGCCTCTACAACACGCTCAATAAAATATAAACTAAGAAGCTGTTATTTGAAACATCCCTATGCTAAGTATCTGCCTTTTGTTAGTGTGTGCGCACACACTCTTTAGTTGGCAGCCCAGGCACAGAGAGGGCATGGATTTAAAAAAAAAAAAATAAACAGGAAGGAATCACCCCTTAGTAGCAACAATGCAACCAGAGCCACTCATATTTTTGAGAAGAATTAGTTTGATGGAACGGTCACCCGGTATGAAGGTATTCTTGGTGAACAACGCACACACACAAAGCATGCCCTTTATGACAAAGATCGCACCAAATGTGTAAGTGCGTAGGCATCTTAAGGGGATGAAAAGATAAGTAAGCAGAGACTGATACAGGACCATGGAAATATCAGGAGACGCAACAATTTCTCAGCAGTTGAGAGTAACTTGAGTATAGTGATAGTAACTCCCAACTTGCATACGGGGTAGATTAAAGTCATGCAGGGCCTTGTTCAAAACTCTGAGTGTATAGACTTATGGGCAAACCTTTCCTCACAGCCTTTTCATTCCACACATACCCTTTGCCCCCTAACCTTTATGGACGCATCTCTCTCTTCCTTCTGAGTCCTTGATCCTTTATCCACATGAGACAGAGCAGGCAGAGATGCTCCCTCCAGCTGCAATCAGATCTGCACTGTGTTGCTCCCTGTCCCTGTACACCAACTACACCCATGTCTCCCACCGCCCACCCTTACCACTGGCCTGAGAAACCCAAGGACCTGTCTCAATCCGTCCCTGTGGGGCAGGTCTTCCCCTCAGAGTGATGTTTCTATTTTTAGTTCTGCTTGTGTTGTCTGAACCTCAGATCTTGCTCATGTGAATAATTTTCCTCATTATCTCATGTTCTTCTCTTCTCTCTCTCTCTCTCTTTTTTCTCCTTGTCTCACTGCCTTTCCAATCTGCTACAGCTGCTTGAATACTAAAGCAATTGAGTCAAACCACTTTGTCATCGGGAATATGTTTTCAGTCTGTGATAACTCAATAATTCAATCCGTTTCTTTTTGCCGTCATGCCTTGCTTTGTTGGGGGGGGGGGGGGAAGTGGAGGTGTTACCTCATACACACGTCCATGCACCAATCAGAAGGCTCAGCCCTAAAGCTGCTTTCTCAAAGGGTGGCAGAATCCAGCCCCAAATGGGTTATATTCCATTGCGGGCTTCTGGATATAACAACAAGCTGGGGTTTGGTATGTCTGGAAACGTCTACGCTGGATTGTGGCATCTTGATTTTATTAGCCTGATGCAAATATGGACTCATCCGAGCAACAACAGTCATTAATCATCCTACCCCCAAATGGGAATGTAATATACAACCCAGTGCAGATGAAAACAGCAATCTGGACTCACCCCTGGCAGTGTCTTCTGTTCATGCAGCGCGCTCTGGGCCTTCAGGGCAGACTCCCTTTCGCAGTATGTTAGGAAGGCACAGCCTGCAAATGAAAGACAACCCTACGTTAAGTACAGAGCTTTGGTGCGGCTCAGCTTAGGAGCAGGATGCAGAACAATGCTAAGCTTCTTCTTTTTCCAGCGAGGGAGCTGCAGACTCCCTTTGCCTGGTGGGATACTCTCCCAAGAATAGAATGAATCCTTTTCCCCAGGCTCTCATGATAACAGGAAACCGTGTCCAGCGTGTGCTCATTGGTGGGTGATTCCGCCTCACTGCATTTATCAGTGCTGGGTAAAAAGCGCAGAGCAGGATGGGGAGCAGAGAGGAACCCACTCCCGCATTAATGAGGCTGTTGATATGGGACTGACATTTTATTCCTACCAAATTGCAGCAGTGGAGTGTGGAACCAAGATCTCCTCAGCACACTGAGGACCATGATTAAATCCACGTGCTCCCCTTTTGTACCATGCACCCAGAGTAAGGGGCACACAAGGACTTGGGATTTCCAACTGCAGAGGATGACACATAACACTTAACCTGACTCCCATCCCCGAGGAGCACCCCGTTTGCGTTCACACTGGAGAATAACCACCTTGCACTCCCTGCCTGCTCAAAGCCAGGCACATGAAGGAAATCACACGGAGGCCCAGATGAACAATCCAAACGTCATATCACATTAGAAATTCAGAGCTGCCACAGTCACCAGATCACTGGTCCATCTAGCGGGACAGCCTATCAACTGCAGGGGCCATTGCCTGCCATGGTAGAATGGTAAAGGAAAGTAAAAAACCTCATTACGCAACAGGCCATATCCTAGTTGTGCATGTGATGTGACCTGATTAGTCCCCCTTACTGGAGTACACAGAAAGGCTGCCAGTCACTGTGGCACAAGAACTGCTTGTTCTGCACAGGACACTTTCCCAGCAAGTTACTACAAAACAACTACAACCTGTCTCCCCCCCCACAGCTTCTTTGACTGGAGATATCTGACCAGTCAAGTTTTAGATGGTTTGTTCATCAAACCGTGAGCTTCTTCCGAAGCTGGGAAGAAGGAAAGGGAAGTCTCCTCAACTGTCTATTTGTGTTTCATTACCTTGCCTTAGAATCACATAAATATAGGCCTGGAAGGACCCTACAGAGATCATTTTGTCTATCCCCCTGTGCTGAGGAAGGAGTAAGTACACATAGACCCACCAGCTCCTCTTTCTTTGTTTATTCACCTGTCGCACTTTGTTTAAATCTTAGATTGTGAGCTCTCCAGGACACAAATTGCCTTTGTATTATTTGTGTGGTGTTAACACAACGGGGCCCTGATCTTTGACTGGGGTCCTTAGGTGCTAACACAGACGAAATAAAATAGGTCACTTCTCTCTTTTAAGAAGTTCTAAATAGAATACGTTAGAGCAGAGGCTCTCAACCTACTTACCATTGCGGGCTGCATATGTGACCCATGATATATTATGTGTGCCGCATTCAATACTACCTATCTGACCCTGAGGATGTCACATGGGCTGCAGCTGTGTGCTGATTGGCTGCAAGCATCCCATGGGTCACGGGTTGAGAACCACTGGGTTAGAGGATGGAATAAGTTAAAAGGTACTTTCCTAAATATTTTCTTGAAGGACTCACCCCACTACCTCCCACAAACTGGATGATCATTAGAATCAGAGATGGAAAAGACTGGCTGGATCATCTGATCTAATGTCTGTGTGTGTGGGGATGGCTCCTTTTAGTATATTCCAACTGTTCACATGTATCATGCATCAGTGATTGTGCACGTCAGAAGCAAATCAACAGTGGGGTAAGCAAAGGAGACAGGAGCAGCTCTGAGCAGCAATGATTTTATTCTCTCTAATTGGTACCATTCAATTCTTCTTTCAACTTTCAGTGGCTCTGTGTGTGTGTGTGTAATTTTATTTATTTTTGCATGGGGAGGAGTGGGGACAGTGGGAGGGAAGTGGGGGGTAATGGATTGAAAAGGGTTTTTAAAAGTCGCTTGTAGCTTGATAATCAAATGGGAAACAATGCCTAAATTTAATTTCAGTGATAAATCATAAGCAGAGAGCTCTCTGACCAGACACAATAAGAAAATCTCCCTTTGGTAGCAGACCTGGACCAGTTGATACAGTCTAATTAGGCACATGATAGCACACTGTTATAGAGATAAACTATATACTGTAAAGCTCCCCTAATGGTAGTTATATATTTCCTCTTATTGTGATGGCCATGACGACAGCTTAGAATAATGAAGCCCTGCAATGCTGGCCACACTGTGACCATAATTCAGATATCTCAGGCAGAAAGCCCCTCCTTTCATTATAAAAGCAGCGTTTCCTTCAGAGATCCAGCCAGGCTGTGATGAGTTATCAGGAGGAAGCAACCAAAATGAAATCCCTTCCACAGCTGTATGTGCCTGCGCTGGAATTGCAAAGAACTCCCAGGTACGCTGTATATAACAGAGGGCATCAAAATGTCACCGGCTCCCCAAACAAGGCACTCAGGGCATAAAGATTTTGAAATGGAAGGAGGAAATTTAATCAGTGACTTGCACGTGGCGCGGCACCAGGGAAGAAAGGGAACAAATGTTTCAGGCAAAACAAAAAAAGGACTTTTGTTGAAGTAACTTTTCAGCACGCTCCATAATACGCAGCGTGCCTGAGAGTTATAATTTATGTCGACAGCCTCTCATTAGGGAAATTGATGGCACAGCCTCAGTGGTACCTTTTTCAGAAACAAATATTTAAGTGAATTTAGTGTTGCCAGATTAACAGCACCAGAGAGGGTTCTCCTATTTCCACCAAACAATGAAAGAGAGCAGGCCGCAGCAATGCAAACTTCCCCATACTGGTTGCCAATGTGCCACAAACCTGACTCGAAGTTGAAGGAGTCACCCCATGGCTGTCTGTAGGCCTGGGCTTCTAAATCAATGCCAATTGTGAGGACATTTTTTAAATGTGTTAAGGATCTAGACTAAGATTCAAAAGTAGAGATGAGCAAAAAAGGAATTTCCCTCTTGGAGGTAATTTTGACATATCAACGTTTGTTTTCATCCCAAATTGGGATGAAATATCAATATATATATATATTTTCATGGAATTAAAAGCTATGAAAAATGTCAAACCAGAAATGTCAGAACAATCAGGTCGACATCACACGACATCTACCAATGGCACTATGTCGCCTCAGGGGAGTTGCAGTTCTGGTGTCTCTTACCACCATTCTCTCCTATAGGTTGTGCTTCCTGGCCAGACTACGTCTCCCACAACGCACTCACAGTCATGTGAATAATATGATATATTACGCAGCTTGGTCAGAAGAGAAAGTGTGGTGCATCATGGGAAATGTAGTCTGGCCAAAGAGTACAGCCCATAGGCGACAATGGGAGCATTAGATATTCAAACACTTATGAAATGTTGTGGAAACATAGGCAGGTGTGGTCTAATGTTGAACTGATTCAAAATGAAACATTAAGGTTCAGTTCAACAAATGTTTCTGAACCTAAACATTTTCCAGACAGAAAAATTGAAGAAAAGACAAAAAAACAAAATTTTCCATAGGAAAATTTCAATTTTGCAGAAACTACATTCTGCTGAAAAATCATTTTGATGAAAAGTTCTGGAGCCACTCTACTCAATAACTCACTTCACAGAACAACTTGCCTTCAGCAACCTGGGCTGGACGTGTACCTGACTTATAGATAAAGGCTTCATACCCTATAACACATCACTTGAGCCATCCAGCATCCTCACTTAATGGTATTTTTGAAGCACATCTTATAAACAAAGGTAGGCTGAAGGCTGTGCCTTTTTCGGTCAGCTAAAATAAATAAATAAATGAAGATATCCTATCTCCTAGAACTGGAAGGGACCTTGAAAAGTCATTGAGGCCAGCCCCCCTCCTTCACTAGCAGGACCAAGTACTGATTTTGCCCCAGACTCCTAAGTGGCCCCCTGAAGGATTGAACTCACAACGCTGGGTTTAGCAGGCCAATGCTCAAACCACTGAGCTATGCCTCCCCCACAACTGTATGGGTGACAATGAGAATACACAACTACAGTGCATAAGAATTATATCTGGGTCTGAAAAAAAATTGACTATTTGTTGATAATGAAGGGTTTTTTCTTAGTTATTCCTAATTTGAATTTAGTTTCTCTGGACCACGCTGAATTTTCCAGGCAGATATTAATTATCTGAAGGATGCTCTGTTTGGATCATCTTTTTTCTGGCTGTTCATTTGCTACCAATGGCCAGCTCTTTGGGACAGTACATAAACATCTGGAAGCTCCCAGATGTTAATTAACTCTCAGCCTATTGAACTGCAGTCTCTGGGAACCATGAGGATGTATCAAGTGTTCTCCTGGGAGACTGGGTTGTTAAAGAGAAGGGGAAACAAAAACAGAAGTGGAGATGGAAAAAGAAAAGCTCTATTTTAATTTTACCTCCAGAGAATTCAATAAAATAATAATTGCATGGAATATATGTAGATAATAGTGGCAGTGTTAGTGACTCCAACCCTATAATAAATCCCCTGAAGAATTTGCACAAATTGGGGGTGAAACATAGTCATGGGCACAGATTCTGATCTGAGTGATGTCTATGGAAATCCAGAGTTCCCCGCCACCTGAATTAGGCTTGATTTATGCCTGTGTCACTGAAATGAGAATCTGGCCCACAGAATCTAAATCCATTTTGCTTGACATCTCGCCACGGACTGAACTGAATTAGTTTGCTCACATAGCCAGTAGTGTTTAGCTATATATAGGCAGGGATCTCTTTTCTATTTTCTCTGTTCTTCTTCAGCCACCCCAGGGATTATGCATTATCTGGACCTCTAGTAATAATGCAGTGATATAGCTGCGGGATGAAGATGACGCATACTGGCCAACTATTAATAGTTGTAATTAAGGGCTTTTTTCCCCTTCCTTGCTTTACTTTGGCAAAGAGCCACAAGTATCCTGGCACAGCCTCTCTCCTTTGCCCACTGTTTAGACCAAAGGACAAGCACTTAGCAACTCCAGACCGTTTCTTTGCCTGATGTATGTT